TCCCATTAATTCCCCATTAATAACCCCATTAATCCCCCATTAATTACCCCATTAATTACCCATTAATAACCCCATTAATCACCCATTAATAAACCCATTAATTACCCATTAATAACCCCATTAATTACCCCATTAATTACCCATTAATAACCCCATTAATCCCCCATTAATTACCCCATTAATTACCCATTAATTACCCATTAATAACCCCATTAATTCCCCCCCCCATTGCCCCCACCGAGCAGCAGCAGCGCGGTCAGCACGGCGGCCATGTTGGCCAGGTGTGGGCGGGGTCAGGTGAGCGCCCCAGGCCACGCCCCCTTCCGGCCCCAGGCCACGCCCCCCTGACCCGCCCTTGCCCTGCCCGGGCGAGACCATTGGGGCAGCTATAGGGGATCTATGGGGCTACATAGGGGGCTATGGGGCAGCCATAGGGGGATCTATGGGGCAGCCATAGGGGGGCTATGGGGATACATAGGGGGCTATGGGGCAGCCATTGGGGGATCTATGGGGCAGCCATAGGGGGATCTATGGGGCTACATAGGGGGCTATGGGGCAGCCATAGGGGGATCTATGGGGCAGCCATAGGGGGATCTATGGGGCTACATAGGGGGGCTATGGGGCAGACATAGGGGGATCTATGGGGCAGCCATAGGGGGATCTATGGGGCTACATAGGGGGCTATGGGGCAGACATAGGGGGATCTATGGGGCTACATAGGGGGATCTATGGGGCTACATAGGGGGCTATGGGGCAGACATAGGGGGATCTATGGGGCAGCCATAGGGGGCTATGGGGCAGCCATAGGGGGATCTATGGGGCAGACATAGGGGGGCTATGGGGCTACATAGGGGGCTATGGGGCAGCCATAGGGGGATCTATGGGGCAGCCATAGGGGGATCTATGGGGCTACATAGGGGGCTATGGGGCAGACATAGGGGGATCTATGGGGCAGACATAGGGGGGCTATGGGGCAGACATAGGGGGGCTATGGGGCTACATAGGGGGGCTATGGGGCAGCCATAGGGGGGCTATGGGGCTACATAGGGGGCTATGGGGCAGCTATAGGGGGATCTATGGGGCAGCCATAGGGGGATCTATGGGGCAGCCATAGGGTGGATCTATGGGGCAGCTATAGGGGGATCTATGGGGCAGCCATAGGGGGCTATGGGGCAGCCATAGGGTGGATCTATGGGGCAGACATAGGGGGATCTATGGGGCAGACATAGGGGGATCTATGGGGCAGCCATAGGGTGGATCTATGGGGCAGACATAGGGGGATCTATGGGGCAGACATAGGGGGGCTATGGGGCAGCCATAGGGGGATCTATGGGGCTACATAGGGGGCTATGGGGCAGCCATAGGGGGATCTATGGGGCTACATAGGGGGCTATGGGGCTACATAGGGGGAACTATGGGGCAGCCATAGGGGGATCTATGGGGCAGCCATAGGGGATCTATGGGGCAGCCATAGGGGGGCTATGGGGATACATAGGGGGCTATGGGGCAGCCATAGGGGGGCTATGGGGCTACATAGGGGGCTATGGGGCAGCCATAGGGGGATCTATGGGGCAGCCATAGGGAGGCTATGGGGCAGGCATAGGAGGCGATGGGGCCGACATAGTGGGCTATGGGGCTACATAGGGGCTATGGGGCAGCCATAGGGGAATCTATGGGGCAGCCATAGGGAGCTATGGGACAGCCATAGGGGGCTATGGGGCTACATAGGGGGCTATGGGGCAGCCATAATGATCAATGGGGCACCCATAGGGCTCAGTGGGGCACCCTTAGGGCTCTATGGGGCACCCATAGGGATGAATGGGGCACCCATAATGATCAATGGGGCACCCATAGGGCTCAATGGGGCACCCATAGGGATCAGTGGGGCACCCATAGGGCTCTATGGGGCACCCATAGGGATGAATGGGGCACCCATAATGATCAATGGGGCACCCATAGGGCTCAATGGGGCACCCATAGGGATCAGTGGGGCACCCATAGGGCTCTATGGGGCACCCATAGGGATGAATGGGGCACCCATAGGGATCAGTGGGGCACCCATAGGGCTCAATGGGGCACCCATAGGGCTCAGTGGGGCACCCATAGGGCTCAATGGGGCACCCATAGGGATCAGTGGGGCACCCATAGGGATCAATGGGGCACCCATAGGGCTCTATAGGGCACCAATAGGGCTCTATGGGGCTCCGTAGGGATCAATGGGGCTCCATAGGGCTCAATGGGGCACCCATAGGGCTCTATGGGGCTCCATAGGGATCAATGGGGCACCCATAGGGCTCAGTGGGGCACCCATAGGGTTCAGTGGGGCACCCATAGGGCTCAATGGGGCGACATAGGGCTCAATGGGGCACCCATAGGGCTCAGTGGGGCACCCATAGGGCTCAATGGGGCACCCATAGGGCTCTATGTGGATCCATAGGGATCAATGGGGCACCCATAGGGCTCAATGGGGCACCCATAGGGCTCTATGGGGCTCCATAGGGCTCAATGGGGCACCCATAGGAATCAAAGGGGCACCCATAGGGAACAGTGGGGCACCCATAGGGATCAATGGGGCACCCATAGGGCTCTATAGGGCTCCATAGGGCTCTATGGGGCTCTGTAGGGATCAATGGGGCTCCATAGGGCTCAGTGGGGCACCCATAGGGCTCAATGGGGCACCCATAGGGCTCAGTGGGGCACCCATAGGGCTCAATGGGGCACCCATAGGGCTCTATGGGGATCCATAGGGATCAATGGGGCACCCATAGGGCTCAGTGGGGCACCCATAGGGCTCAATGGGGCACCCATAGGGCTCTATGGGGCTCCATAGGAATCAATGGGGCACCCATAGGGCTCAGTGGGGCACCCATAGGTCTCTATGGGGCTCCATAGGGCTCAATGGGGCACCCATAGGGCTCTATGGGGCTCCATAGGCTCCACACTGCCCCATTCCCATGCAGGTGGGGGGGCCCCAAGGGGGGCCCCGAGGTCCGGATGGGACCCAAAGGCTCCGCCCCCCAACTTGACCCCGCCCCTTGGTCCCTCCCCTCCCCCCTTTATAACCCCCTTTGTGCCCGCCCCACACTCAGCACCCGGAGCCTCGGACCCACAGAGGTAGGTCTATGGGTGCCCCATTGATTCCTATGGGTGCCCCATTGATTCCTATGGGTGCCCTATAGAGCCCTATGGGTGCCCCATTGATCCCTATGGGTGCCCTATAGAGCCCTATGGGTGCCCCATTGAGCCCTATGGGTGCCCTATAGAGCCCTATGGGTGCCCCATTGATTCCTATGGGTGCCCTATAGAGCCCTATGGGTGCCCCATTGATTCCTATGGGTGCCCCATTGATCCCTATGGGTGCCCCATTGATTCCTATGGGTGCCCTATAGAGCCCTATGGGTGCCCCATTGATCCCTATGGGTGCCCTATAGAGCCCTATGGGTGCCCCATTGATCCCTAAGGGTGCCCTATAGAGCCCTATGGGTGCCCCATTGATCCCTATGGGTGCCCCATTCATCCCTATGGGTGCCCTATAGAGCCCTATGGGTGCCCCATTGATCCCTAAGGGTGCCCTATAGAGCCCTATGGGTGCCCCACTGATCCCTATGGATGCCCCATTGAGCCCTATGGGTGCCCCATTGATCCCTATGGATGCCCCACTGATCCCTATGGGTGCCCCATTGATTCCTATGGGTGCCCTATAGAGCCCTATGGGTGCCCCATTGATCCCTATGGGTGCCCCATTGATCCCTATGGGTGCCCTATAGAGCCCTATGGGTGCCCCACTGAGCCCTATGGGTGCCCTATAGGTTCCTATGGGTGCCCCATTGACCCCTATGGCTGCCCTGTAGCACCCTATAGCTGCCTCATAGACCCCTATGGCTGCCCTATAGCTCCCTATGGCTGCCCTATAGCTCCCTATGGCTGCCCCATAGCTCCCTATCTATGGCTGCCCCATAGCTCCCAATCTATGGCTGCCCCATAGACCCCTATGGCTGCCCTATAGCTCCCTATGGCTGCCCCATAGCTCCCTATCTATGGCTGCCCCATAGCTCCCTATGGCTGCCCCATAGCTCCCTATCTATGGCTGCCCCATAGCTCCCTATGGCTGCCCTATAGACCCCTATGGCTGCCCTATAGCTCCCTATGGCTGCCCCATAGACCCCTATCTATGGCTGCCCCATAGCTCCCTATGGCTGCCCTATAGCTCCCTATGGCTGCCCCATAGCTCCCTATCTATGGCTGCCCCATAGACCCCTATGGCTGCCCCATAGCTCCCTATGGCTGCCCCATAGCTCCCTATGTGTCCCCCCCATAGACCCCTATGGGTCCCCCCTTGACTCCATGGGACCCCCCCCCCCCGCCCCCCATAGCCCCAGATGTTCCCCCCCCCCTTACGTCCCCCGGTGACGTCATCACGTTGGACAAACGGCCCCTTGTGGCCGCGCTGGCGGCGCCAGGCGCCGCTGGGACCGCCCCTCCCCCCCCTTCCCCCATGGGATGTGGGGGGCACAGAGGGGGGAGGGGGGCGGAGAGACCCATAGAGACCCATAGAGACCCATAGAGACACATAGGGACCCATAGGGACCCATAGGGACACATAGAAACCCATTGGGACCCATTGGGACCCATAGAGACCCATTGGGACCCATAGAGACCCATAGAGACCCATAGAGACACATAGAAACCCATTGGGACCCATTGGGACCCATAGAGACCCATAGAGACCCATAGAGACCCATAGGGACCCATAGAGACCCATAGAGACACATAGAGACCCATTGGGACCCATTGGGACCCATTGGGACCCATAGAGACCCATTGGGACCCATAGAGACCCATAGAGACCCATAGAGACCCATAGAGACCCATAGAGACACATAGAGACCCATTGGGACCCATTGGGACCCATAGAGACCCATTGGGACCCATAGAGACCCATTGGGACCCATAGAGACCCATAGAGACCCATAGAGACCCATTGGGACCCATTGGGACCCATAGAGACCCATAGAGACCCCATAGAGACCCATAGGGACCCATAGAGAGCCATAGAGACCCATAGGGACCCATAGAGACCCATTGGGACCCATAGAGACCCATAGAGAGCCATTGGGACCCATAGAGACCCATAGAGAGCCATTGGGACCCATAGAGACCCATAGAGAGCCATAGAGACCCATTGGGACCCATAGAGACCCATAGGGACACATAGAGACCCATAGAAACCCATAGAGCCCCATAGACCCCAATGGAGCCCATAAACCCCCTATAGAGCCCCATAGATCCCTAAAGAGCCCCATAGACCCCAGTGGAGCCCCATAGACCCCTATAGAGCCCCATAGACCCCTACAGAACCCCGTAGACCCCACTGGAGCCCCATAGACCCCAATGGGGCCACATAGAGCCCCATAGACCCCAATGGAGCCTCATAGACCCCAATAGAGCCCCATAGACCCCAATGGAACCCCATACACCCCAATGGAACCCCATACACCCCATAGATCCTAATGCAGTCCCATAGACCGCAATGGAGCCCCATAGACCCCCATAGACCCCAATGGAGCCCCATAGACCCCAATAGAGCCCCATAGACCCCAATGGATCCCATAGACCCCATAGCCCCCCCATAGACCCCAATAGAGCCCCATAGACCCCAATGCAGCCCCATAGGCCCCAATGGAGCCCCATAGACCCCTATAGAGCCCCATAGACCCCCATAGACCCCAATGGAGCCCCATAGACCCCAGTGGAGCCCCATAGACCCCAATGCAGCCCCATAGGCCCCAATGGAGCCCCATAGGCCCCAATGGAGCCCCATAGAGCCCCATAGACCCCAATGGAGCCCCATAGACCCCAATAGAACCCAATGGAGCCCCATAGGCCCCAATGGAGCCCCATAGACCCCAATGCAGCCCCATAGGCCCCAATGGAGCCCCATAGACCCCTATAGAGCCCCATAGACCCCAATGGAGCCCCATAGACCCCAATAGAACCCAATGGAGCCCTATAGAGCCCCATAGGCCCCAATGGAGCCCCATAGACCCCAATGGAGCCCCATAGACCCCAATAGAACCCAATGGAGCCCCATAGACCCCAATGCAGCCCCATAGACCCCTATAGAGCCCCATAGACCCCAATGGAGCCCCATAGACCCCAATAGAACCCAATGGAGCCCCATAGGCCCCAATGGAGCCCCATAGACCCCTATAGAGCCCCATAGACCCCAATGGAGCCCCATAGACCCCAATAGAACCCAATGGAGCCCCATAGACCCCAATAGAACCCAATGGAGCCCCATAGACCCCAATAGAACCCAATGGAGCCCCATAGACCCCAATGCAGCCCCATAGACCCCTATAGAGCCCCATAGACCCCAATGGAGCCCCATAGACCCCAATAGAACCCAATGGAGCCCCATAGGCCCCAATGGAGCCCCATAGACCCCTATAGAGCCCCATAGACCCCAATGGAGCCCCATAGACCCCAATAGAACCCAATGGAGCCCCATAGACCCCAATGCAGCCCCATAGACCCCTATAGAGCCCCATAGACCCCAATGGAGCCCCATAGACCCCAATAGAACCCAATGGAGCCCCATAGACCCCAATGCAGCCCCATAGCCCCCCATGGGTCCCCCCACTTATGGGGGGGGGGGGGGGGCGCGCAGGCGCACACACAGGGTCCCATTGTCCTCTATGGGGCCGTGGGAGGGGCAACGGCGCGAGAGGAATGCGCCCCCTAGGGCGTGGGAGGACCCATAGGGGGCGGGGGGGGCGGAGCCAGGGATGGGGTTGGACCAATGGGATCAATGGGGGGGTATTATGGGATGGATGTGGGGCAGGGGGGTGGATGTGGGGTGGATGTGGGGCAGGGGGGTGTTATGGGGTGGATGTGGGGCAGGGGGGTGTTATGGGGTGGATGTGGGGCTGGGGGGTGGATGTGGGGCAGGGGGGTGTTATGGGGTGGATGTGGGGCAGGGGGGTGGATGTGGGGTGGATGTGGGGCAGGGGGGGTTATGGGGTGGATGTGGGGCAGGGGGGTGTTATGGGGTGGATGTGGGGCAGGGGGGTGGATGTGGGGTGGATGTGGGGCAGGGGGGGTTATGGGGTGGATGTGGGGCAGGGGGAGTTATGGGGTGGATGTGGGGCTGGGGGAGTTATGGGGTGGATGTGGGGCAGGGGGTGTTATGGGGTGGATGTGGGGCAGGGGGGAGTTACGGGATGGATGTGGGGTGTTATGGGGTGGATGTGGGGCTGGGGGGTGGATGTGGGGCTGGGGGGTGTTATGGGGTGGATGTGGGGCAGGGGGAGTTATAGGGTGGATGTGGGGCAGGGGGTGTTATGGGGTGGATGTGGGGCAGGGGGAGTTATGGGGTGGATGTGGGGCTGGGGGGAGTTACGGGATGGATGTGGGGTGTTATGGGGTGGATGTTGGGCAGGGGGGGTGGATGTGGGGCTGGGGGGTGGAAGTGGGGCAGGGGGCTGTTATGGGGCGGATGTGGGGCTGGGGGTGTTATGGGGTGGATGTGGGGCAGGGGGGGTGGATGTGGGGCTGGGGGGTGTTATGGGGTGGATGTGGGGTGTTATGGGGTGGATGTGGGGTGTTATGGGGTGGATGTGGGGCAGGGGGGGGTTATGGGGTGGATGTGGGGCGGGGGGGGTTATGGGGTGGATGTGGGGCAGGGGGTGTTATGGGGTGGATGTGGGGCTGGGGGAGTTATGGGTGGATGTGGGGCAGGGGGAGTTATAGGGTGGATGTGGGGCAGGGGGTGTTATGGGGTGGATGTGGGGCGGGGGGGGTTATGGGGTGGATGTGGGGCAGGGGGTGTTATGGGGTGGATGTGGGGCTGGGGGAGTTATGGGGTGGATGTGGGGCAGGGGGAGTTATAGGGTGGATGTGGGGCAGGGGGTGTTATGGGGTGGATGTGGGGCGGGGGGGGTTATGGGGTGGATGTGGGGCGGGGGGGGTTATGGGGTGGATGTGGGGCGGGGGGAGTTATGGGGTGGATGTGGGGCTGGGGGTGTTATGGGATGGGATGTGGGGCAGGGGGGTGGATGTGGGGCTGGGGGAGTTATGGGGTGGATGTGGGGCTGGGGGGGTGGATGTGGGGCGGGGGGGAGTTATGGGGTGGATGTGGGGCAGGGGGGTGGATGTGGGGCAGGGGGGTGGATGTGGGGCTGGGGGAGTTATGGGGTGGATGTGGGGCGGGGGGGGTTATGGGGTGGATGTGGGGCAGGGGGTGTTATGGGGTGGATGTGGGGCAGGGGTATTATGGGATGTGCCCCATAGATCCCCCTCCGCCCCACAGCGCCCCCATGTGGCCGTTCCTCGCTGCCCTCCCCGCGGCGCTGCTGCTGCTGCCCCCAGGTGACCCCAAAACCCCGTTAATAGACCCCAAACCCCGTTATTAACCCAAAACCCCGTTAATAGACCCCAAAACCCCGTTATTAACCCAAAACCTCGTTATTAACCCCCAAAACCCCGTTAATAGACCCAAAACCCCGATAATAGACCCCAAAACCCCGTTAATAGACCCAAAACCCCGTTAATAGACCCAAAACCCTGTTAATAGACCCCAAAACCCCATTATTAACCCAAAACCTCGTTATTAACCCCCAAAACCCCGTTAATAGACCCAAAACCCCGTTAATAGACCCAAAACCCCGTTAATAGACCCAAAACCCTGTTAATAGACCCCAAAACCCCGTTATTAACCCAAAACCTCGTTATTAACCCCCCAAACCCCGTTAATAGACCCCAAAACCCCGTTAATAGACCCCAAAACCCCGTTAATAGACCCAAAACCCCGTTAATAGACCCCAAAACCCCGTTATTAACCCAAAACCTGGTTATTGACCCCAAAACCCCGTTAATAGACCCAAAACCCCGTTAATAGACCCAAAACCCTGTTAATAGACCCAAAACCCCGTTAATAGACCCCAAAACCCCGTTAATAGACACCAAAACGCCGTTATTAACCCCAAAACCCCGTTAATAGCCCCCAAACCCCGTTAATAGCACCAAAAAAAAACGTTATTAACCCCAAAACTCCGTTAATAGCCCCAAAACCCCGTTAATAGCCCCCAAACCCCGTTAATAGCACCAAAAAACTCGTTATTAACCCCAAAACTCCATTAATAGACACCAAAACCCCGTTATTAACCCCAAAACCCGTTAATAGACATAAAAACCCCGTTATTAGCCCCCAACCCCATTATTACCCCAAACACCCCATTATTAGCCCTGAAACCCCGTTATTAGCCACAAAACCCCCTTATTAGCAGGAATAACCCCATTATTAGCCCTAATACCCCGTTATTAGCCCTAATAACCCCATTAATAGCCGTAATAACGCCATTATTAAACCTAATAGTCCTATTATTGCCCTTAATAAACGCCCCGACCCCATTATTCCTGCTAATAACCCCATTATTCCCCCAATAACCCCATTATTACCTGTAATAACTCTATTATTACCCCTAATAACCCCATTATTAGCCCTAATAACCCCATTAACAGCCCTAATAATGCTATTATTAGCCCTAATACCTCCGTTATTACCCCAATAAACTCCCAAAACCCATTATTACCCCTAACAACCCCATTTTTACCCCTAATAACCGCATAATTACCTCTAATAACCCCATTATTGGCCCTAATAACCCCATTAATACCCCTAATAACTCTATTACTAGCCCTAACAATTCTATTCTTAGCCCTAATAAACCTTCAAATCCTATTATTAGCCCTAATAACCGCTTTATTAGCCCTAATAACTCCGTTATTAACCCTAATAACCCCATTATTCGCCCTAATAACCCCATTAATACCCTAATAACTCTATTATTAGCCCTAATAATTCCATTCTTTGCCCTAATAAACCTTCAAATCCCATTATTACCTCTAATAACCCCATTATTACCCCTAATAACTCCATTATTACTCCTTATAAGCCCATTATTACCCCTAATAACCCCATTAATAGCCCTAATAACCCCATTAATACCCCTAATAATCCTATTATTAGCCCTAATAAACGCCCCAAACCCATTATTACCCCTAACAACCCCATAATTATTCCTAATAACTCCATTATTAGCCCTAATAACCCCATTAATAGCCCTAATAACCCCATTAATATCCCTAATAATCCTATTATTAGCCCTAATAAGCGCCCCAAACCCATTATTACCCCTAATAACGCCATTATTAACCCTAATAATCCTATTATTACCCCTAATAAACGCCCCAAACCCATTATTAGCCCTAATAATTCCCTTATTAACCCTATTTCCCCCCTTCCCTAGGCACCCCCGCCTCTCCCTGGGCCGCCTGGATGCCCCCGTCCCTCTCCTCCCTCTCGGGCCCCTGCGTCTCCATCCCGGCCCCATCCATGGGGAGCCCCAAACACCCCCTTATTAGCCCCGAAACCCCCTTATTAGCCCTAATAACCCCATTAATACCCCTAATAGCTCTATTATTAGTCCTAATAATTCCATTCTTAGCCCTAATAAACCCCCAAATCCATTATTACCCCTAATAACCGCCTTATTAACCCTAGTAACCCCATTATTAGCCCTAATAACCGCATTAATAGCGCTAATAACGCCATTATTACCCCTAATAATCGTATTATTAGCCCATATAAACACCCCAAACCCATTATTACCCCTAACAACCCCATAATTATTCCTAATAACTCCATTATTAGCCCTAATAACCCCATTAATAACGCTAATAACGCCATTATTACCCCTAATAATCCTATTATTAGCCCTAATAAACCCCCCAAAACCCATTATTACCCCTAATAACGCCATTATTAACCCTAATAATCCTATTATTACCCCTAATAAACGCCCCAAACCCATTATTAGCCCTAATAATTCCCTTATTAACCCTATTTCCCCCCCTTCCCTAGGCACCCCCGCCTCTCCCTGGGCCGCCTGGATGCCCCCGTCCCTCTCCTCCCTCTCGGGCCCCTGCGTCTCCATCCCGGCCCCATCCATGGGGAGCCCCAAACACCCCCTTATTAGCCCCGAAACCCGTTATTAGCCCTAATAACCCCATTAATACCCTAATAACTCTATTATTAGCCCTAATAATTCCATTCTTTGCCCTAATAAAACCTTCAAATCCCATTATTAGCCCTAATAACCGCTTTATTAGCCCTAATAACTCCGTTATTAACCCTAATAACCCCATTATTCGCCCTAATAACCCCATTAATACCCTAATAACTCTATTATTAGCCCTAATAAACCTTCAAATCCGATTATTAGCCCTAATAACCGCTTTATTAGCCCTAATAACTCCGTTATTAACCCTAATAACCCCATTATTAGCCCTAATAACCCCATTAATACCCCTAATAACTCTATTATTAGCCCTAATAATTCCATTCTTAGCCCTAATAAACCTTCAAATCCCATTATTAGCCCTAATAACCGCTTTATTATCCCTAATAACTCCATTATTAACCCTAATAACCCCATTATTCGCCCTAATAACCCCATTAATACCCTAATAACTCTATTATTAGCCCTAATAATTCCATTCTTTGCCCTAATAAACCTTCAAATCCCATTATTACCTCTAATAACCCCATTATTACCCCTAATAACTCCATTATTACTCCTTATAAGCCCATTATTCGCCCTAATAACTCCATTAATACCCTAAGAACTCTATTATTAGCCCTAATAATTCCATTCTTTGCCCTAATAAACCTTCAAATCCCATTCTTACCCCTAATAACCCCATTATTACCCCTAATAACTCCATTATTACTCCTTATAACCCCATTATTCGCCCTAATAACCCCATTAATACCCTAAGAACTCTATTATTAGCCCTAATAATTCCATTCTTTGCCCTAATAAACCTTCAAATCCCATTATTAGCCCTAATAACCGCTTTATTAGCCCTAATAACTCCGTTATTAACCCTAATAACCCCATTATTACCCCTAATAACCCCATTAATACCCTAATAACGCTATTATTAGCCCTAATAATTCCATTCTTTGCCCTAATAAACCTTCAAATCCCATTATTAGCCCTAATAACTGCTTTATTATCCCTAGTAACTCCGTTATTAACCCTAATAACCCCATTATTCGCCCTAATAACCCCATTAATACCCTAATAACTCTATTATTAGCCCTAATAATTCCATTCTTTGCCCTACTAAACCTTCAAATCCTATTATAAGCCCTAATAACCCCATTATTACTTCTAATAACTCCATTATTACTCCTTATAACCCCATTATTACCCCTAATAACCCCATTAATAACGCTAATAACGCCATTATTACCCCTAATAATCCTATTATTAGCCCTAATAAACCCCCAAAACCCATTATTACCCCCAATAACGCCATTATTAACCCTAATAATCCTATTATTACCCCTAATAAACGCCCCAAACCCATTATTAGCCCTAATAATTCCCTTATTAACCCTATTTCCCCCCCTTCCCTAGGCACCCCCGCCTCTCCCTGGGCCGCCTGGATGCCCCCGTCCCTCTCCTCCCTCTCGGGCCCCTGCGTCTCCATCCCGGCCCCATCCATGGGGAGCCCCAAACACCCCCTTATTAGCCCCCGAAACCCCCTTATTAGCCCTAATAACCCCATTAATACCCCTAATAGCTCTATTATTAGCCCTAATAATTCCATTCTTAGCCCTAATAAACCCCCAAATCCCATTATTACCCCTAATAACCGCCTTATTAGCCCTAGTAACCCCATTATTAGCCCTAATAACCTCATTAATAGCGCTAATAACGCCATTATTACCCCTAATAATCGTATTATTAGCCCATATAAACACCCAAACCCATTATTACCCCTAACAACCCCATAATTATTCCTAATAACTCCATTATTAGCCCTAATAACCCCATTAATAACGCTAATAACGCCATTATTACCCCTAATAATCCTATTATTACCCCTAATAAACCCCCAAATCCCATTATTACCCCTAATAACGCCATTATTACCCCTAATAACCCCATTAATACCCCTAATAACCCCATTAATACCCCTAATAACGCCATTATTAGCCCTAATACCTCCCTTCCCTAGGCACCCCCGCCTCTCCCTGGGCCGCCTGGATGCCCCCGTCCCTCTCCTCCCTCTCGGGCACCTGCGTCTCCATCCCGTGTCGTTTCGGGTACCCCGAAGAGCTTCGCCCCGCTTCCATCCACGGCCTCTGGTACTTCGGGAGCCCGTACCCCAAACATTACCCCCCCGTCGTGGCCCGTTCTCGGGGGGGCCCCGTCCACGAGAGCTTCGAAGGGAGGGCGATGCTTTTGGGGGACCCCAATCGTCGCGACTGCTCCTTGCTGCTGGGCCCCCCATAGGAGCCGAGCTGGCCGGTCGTTATTACTTCCGGGGGGACTTGGGGGGCTACAACCAGTACAGCTTCGCCGAGCACGCTGCCCTTCATGTGTTGGGTATGGTGTGGGGTGTGTGGGGTGATGGGTACCATTAGTGGGGTGATGGGGGGCATTATAGGGGTGATGGGGGGCATTATGGGGGTGATGGGTACCATTATTGGGGTGATGGGGGTCATTATGGGGGTGATGGGTACCATTAGTGGGGTGATGGGTACCATTAGTGGGGTGATAGGGGGTGTTGTGGGGGTGATGGGTACCATTATTGGGGTGATGGGTACCATTATTGGGGTGATAGGGGGTGTTGTGGGGGTGATGGGTACCATTATTGGGGTGATGGGTACCATTATAGGGGTGATGGGTACCATTATAGGGGTGATGGGGGGCATTATGGGGGTGATGGGTACCATTATAGGGGTGATGGGTACCATTATAGGGGTGATGGGTGTCATTATGGGGTGATGGGTACCATTATAGGGGTGCTGGGTGTCATTATGGGGGTGATGGGGGGTGGTATGGGGGTGATGGAGGGCGTTATGGGGGTGATGAGGGGCTTTATGGGGTGATGGGTACCACTATGGGGTGCTGGGGGTCATTATGGGGGTGATGGAGGGTGGTATGGGGGTGATAGGGGGTGTTATGGGGGTGATGGGGGCATTATGGGGGTGATGGGGGTGTTGTGGGGGTGATGGGTACCATTATAGGGGTGCTGGGTGTCATTATGGGGGTGATAGGGGGTGTTATGGGGGTGATGAGGGGTGTTATGGGGGTGATGGGGAGTTGTATGGGGGTGATGGGGGGGTTGTGGGGGTGATGGGGGTCATTATGGGGCTGATGGGGGTCATTATGGGGGTGATGGGGGTCATTATGGGGGTGCTGGGGGGCATTATGGGGGTGATAGGGGGTGTTATGGGGGTGATAGGGGGCGTTATGGGGGTGATGGGGGGTGTTATGGGGGTAATGGGTACCACTATAGAGTGTTATGGGGGTGTTATGGGGGTGATGGGGGTGGTATGGGGGTGATGGGGGGTGGTATGGGGGTGATGGGGGGTGTTATGGGGGGTGATGGGTACCACTATGGGGTGCTGGGGGTCATTATGGGGCTGATGGGGGGCATTATGGGGGTGATGGGGGTGGTATGGGGCTGATGGGGGGCATTATGGGGGTGATAGGGGGTGTTATGGGGGTGATGGGGGCATTATGGGGGTGATGGGGGGTGTTGTGGGGGTGATGGGTACCATTATAGGGGTGCTGGGTGTCATTATGGGGGTGATAGGGGGTGTTATGGGGGTGATGAGGGGTGTTATGGGGGTGATGGGGAGTTGTATGGGGGTGATGGGGGGGTTGTGGGGGTGATGGGGGTCATTATGGGGCTGATGGGGGTCATTATGGGGGTGATGGGGGTCATTATGGGGGTGCTGGGGGGCATTATGGGGGTGATAGGGGGTGTTATGGGGGTGATGGGGGGTGTTATGGGGGTGATGAGGGGCTTTATGGGGTGATGGGTACCACTATGGGGTGCTGGGGGTCATTATGGGGGTGATGGAGGGTGGTATGGGGGTGATAGGGGGTGTTATGGGGGTGATGGGGCGTTATGGGGGTGATGGGGAGCGTTATGGGGGTGATGGGGGGTGTTATGGGGGTGATGGGTGCCACTATGGGGTGCTGGGTGCTTTGGGTACCATTATGTGTACCCCATCCCCACCCCATCCCCCCCATTCCCCCCATCACCCCCCATTCCCCCCCCTTCCGCCCCACATCCCCCCACTCCCCACCCCACAGAGGAACCCACCCTCGAGCTCCCCCCGGCTCTGGTAGCCGGGCGCATGGCGGAGTTTCGGTGCCGCGTGCCGGACAACTGCCCCCATCTCCTGCCCCACATCTCCTGGGACGGGACCCACGAGCTTCCCGACCTTTCCCAACGGGAATCCCGCCTCAACGCCCACGGCGACGCCTCCCTCCTGGCCCTGCTCCGCTTCCGGCCGCGACGCCACGACGACGGGCGCCGCCTCCGCTGCCGCGTGGACTTCGACAACAGCTCCTTGGCCTTCCAGGCCTCCGTGGCGCTCGATGTGCACTGTGAGATATGGGGTGGGCGATGGGGGGTGATTTCGTTGAGGTTTGGGTCAATTTCGTTGGGTTTTGGGTCAATTTTGTTGAGTTTTGGGTCAATATCATTGAGTTTTAGGTCATCTTCGTTGAGTTTTAAGTCAATTTTGTTGAGTTTTAGGTCATCTTCGTTGAGTTTTAAGTCAATTTTGTTGAGTTTTGGGTCATCTTCGTTGAGATTTGGGTCAACTTTGTTGAGTTTTAGGTCATCTTCGTTGAGATTTGGGTCAACTTCGTTGAGTTTTGGGTCATCTTCGTTGAGGTTTGGGTCAACTTCGTTGGGTATTGGGTCAATTTCGTTGAGTTTTGGGTCAATTTTGTTGAGTTTTGGGTAAATTTTGTTGAGTTTTGGGTCATCTTCGTTGAGTTTTAGGTCATCTTCGTTGAGGTTTGGGTCAATTTCGTTGAGTTTTGGGTCAACTTCATTGAGGTTTGGGTCAATTTCGTTGAATTTTGGGTCAACCGTTGAGTTTTGCATAAATTTCGTTGAGTTTTGCATAAATTTCGTTGAGTTTTGGGTCAACTTCGTTGAGTTTTAGATCAACTTCGTTGAGTTTTGGGTCAATTTCGTTGAGTTTTGGGTCAACCGTTGAGTTTAAGTCAACTTCGTTGAGTTTTGCGTAAATTTCGTTGAGTTTTAGGTCAACTTCGTTGAGTTTTGGGTCAATATCATTGAGTTTTAGGCCATCTTCGTTGAGTTTTAAGTCATCTTCATTGAGTTTTGGGTCAATGTTGTTGAGGTTTGGGTCAATTTCGTTGAGTTTTAGGTCAACTTCGTTGAGTTTTGGGTCAACTTCCTTGAGTTTTAGGTCAACTTCCTTGAGTTTTGTGTCAATTTCCCTGAGATTTTGTCTATTTCTGTGAGTTTTGGGTCAATTTCCTTGCATTTTGGGTCAATTTCATTGCGTTTTGGGTCAATTTCTGTGAGTTTTGGGTCGATTTCATTGCGTTTCGGGTCGATTTCCTTGCGTTTTGTGTCGATTTCCTTGCATTTTGGGTCAATTTCCTTGTGTTTTGTGTCAATTTCCTTGCATTTCAGGTCAATTTCATTGCATTTTGGGTCAATTTCCGTGAGTTTTGGGTCAATTTCCTTCAGTTTTGGGTCAATTTCCTTGCATTTTGTGTCGATTTCCTTGAGTTTTGGGTCAATTCCCTTGCATTTTGTGTCAATTCCCTTGCATTTCAGGTCGATATCCTTGAGTTTTGGGTCAATTCCCTTGCATTTTGTGTCGATTTCCTTGAGTTTTGGGTCAATTCCCTTGCATTTTGTGTCAACTCCCTTGCATTTCAGGTCGATATCCTTGAGTTTTGGGTCAATTTCCTCGCATTTTGTGTCGATTTCCTTGCATTTTGGGTCAATTCCCTTGCATTTTGTGTCGATATCCTTGAGTTTTGGGTCAATTTCCTTGCATTTTGTGTCGATTTCCTTGAGTTTTGGGTCAATTCCCTTGCGTTTCGGGTCAATTCCCTTGCATTTTGGGTTGATTTCCTTGCGGTTTTGGGTCAATTCCCTTGCGTTTTGGGTCAATTTCCTTGAGTTTTGTCTCGATTTCCTTGCGTTTTGTGTCAATTCCCTTGCGTTTTGGGTCGATTTCCTTGAGTTTTGGGTCAATTTCACTGAGATTTTGTCAATTTCCTTGAGTTTTGTGTCAATTTCCTTGCGATTTGTGTCAATTCCCTTGCGTTTCAGGTCAATTTCATTTCATTTTGTGTCGATTTCCTTGAGTTTTGGGTCAATTTCCTTGCGTTTTGTGTCAATTCCCTTGCATTTCAGGTCGATTTCCTTGAGTTTTGGGTCAATTCCCTTGCATTTTGGGTCGATATCCTTGAGTTTTGGGTCAATTTCCTTGCATTTTGTGTCGATTTCCTTGAGTTTTGGGTCAATTCCCTTGCATTTTGTGTCAATTCCCTTGCATTTCAGGTCGATATCCTTGAGGTTTGGGTCAATTTCCTCGCATTTTGTGTCGATTTCCTTGCATTTTGGGTCAATTCCCTTGCATTTTGTGTCGATTTCCTTGAGTTTTGGGTCAATTCCCTTGCGTTTCATGTCAATTCCCTTGCGTTTCGTGTCAATTCCCTTGCGTTTTGGGTCGATTTCCCCTCACTTTCATCTCACCCCATTGCATGTCCATATCCCCCCCCCCCCAAGTCCCCCCACAGGTGCTGTCGGTGGAGGGCCCTCCGGAGGCCTTGGAGGGCTCGGCGGCGGCGCTGGCGTGCGTTGCCGAGGGGCGGCCGGCGCCGTTGCTCTCGTGGTTCCGTGGGGCAGCGTTGCTGCGGGAGGAGCCGGGGGCCGAGCGCCTCGAGCTGCCCCTGCCCCACCTGGCCCCCGACGACGCCGGCACCTACGTGTGCGTGGCCGAGAACCGGCACGGCAGCCACAACCGCAGCCTCGAGCTGCACGTGGCCTGTGAGTCACCATGGGGGGCGCTATGGGGTGGTCAATGGAGGGGTCTATGGGGTCTATTGGGGTCTATGGGGTCTATTGGGGTCTATGGGTGTCTATGGGGTCTATTGGGGTCTATTGGGTTCTATTGGGGTCTATTGGGGTCTATTGGGGTCTATTGGGGTCTACTGGAGTCTATTGGAGTCTATTGGGGTCTATTGGGCTCTATTGGGCTCTATTGGGCTCTATTGGGGTCTATTGGGGTGTATTGGGGTCTATGGGGTCTATTGCGGTCTATGGGGTCTATTGGGGTCTATGAGGGTCTATGGGGTCCATTGGGGTCTATTGGGGTCTATGGTATGGGGTCTATGGGGTCTATCGGGGGCTATGGGGTCTATTGGGGTCTATGGGGTCTATGGGGTCTACATGTGCGTGGCCGAGAACCGGCACGGCAGCCACAACCGCAGCCTCGAGCTGCACGTGGCCTGTGAGTGGCCATGGGGGCGCTATGGGGTGGTCAATGGAGGGGTCTATGGGGTCTATTGGGGTCTATGGGGTCTATTGGGGTCTATGGGTGTCTATGGGGTCTATTGGGGTCTATTGGGTTCTATTGGGGTCCGTTGGGGTCTATTGGGGTCTATTGGGGTCTACTGGAGTCTATTGGAGTCTATTGGGGTCTATTGGGCTCTATTGGGCTCTATTGGGCTCTATTGGGGTCTATTGGGGTGTATTGGGGTCTATGGGGTCTATTGCGGTCTATGGGGTCTATTGGGGTCTATGAGGGTCTATGGGGTCCATTGGGGTCTATTGGGGTCTATGGTATGGGGTCTATGGGGTCTATCGGGGGCTATGGGGTCTATTGGGGTCTATGGGGTCTACATGTGCATGGCCGAGAACCAGCACGGCAGCCACAACCGCAGCCTCGAGCTGCACGTGGCCTGTGAGTCACCATGGGGGGCGCTATGGGGTGGTCAATGGAGGGGTCTATGGGGTCTATTGGGGTCCGTTGGGGTCTATTGGGGTCTATTGGGATCTATGGGGTCTATTGGGGTCTATGGGGTCTATTGGGGTCTATGGGTGTCTATGGGGTCTATTGGGGTCTATTGGGGTCTATTGGGGTCTATGGGGTCTATGTGTGCGTGGCCGAGAACCGGCACGGCAGCCACAACCGCAGCCTCGAGCTGCACGTGGCCTGTGAGTCACCATGGGGGGCGCTATGGGGTGGTCAATGGAGGGGTCTATGGGGTCTATTGGGGTCTATGGGGTCTGTTGGGGTCTATTGGGGTCTATAGGGGACTATGGGGTCTATTGGGGTCTATGGGAGTCTATGGGGTCTATTGGGTTCTATTGGGGTCTATTGGGGTCTATTGGGTTCTATTGGGGTCCGTTGGGGTCTATTGGGGTCTATTGGGGTCTACTGGAGTCTATTGGAGTCTATTGGGGTCTATTGGGCTCTATTGGGCTCTATTGGGCTCTATTGGGGTCTATTGGGGTGTATTGGGGTCTATGGAGTCTATTGGGGTCTATGGGGTCTATTGGGGTCTATGAGGGTCTATGGGGTCCATTGGGGTCTATTGGGGTCTATGGTATGGGGTCTATGGGGTCTATAGGGGGCTATGGGGTCTATTGGGGTCTATGGGGTCTATTGGGGTCTATTGGGGTCTATTGGAGTCTATGGGGTCTACGTGTGCGTGGCCGAGAACCGGCACGGCAGCCACAACCGCAGCCTCGAGCTGCACGTGGCCTGTGAGTCACCATGGGGGGCGCTATGGGGTGGTCAATGGAGGGGTCTATGGGGTCTATTGGGGTCTATTGGGTTCTATGGGGTCTATGGGGGTCTATGGGGGTCCTAGGGGGTCTATGGGGTTCTATTGGGGTCTATTGGGGTCTATGGGGTTCTATGGGGTCTATTGGGGTCTATAGGGGTCTATTGGGGTCTATGGGGTCTATGGGGGTCTATGGGGGTCCTAGGGGGTCTATGGGGTTCTATTGGGGTCTATGGGGTCTATTGGGGTCTATAGGGGTCTATGGGGGTCTATTGAGGTCTATTGTGGTCTATGGGGTGTATGGGGGTCTATTGGGGGTCTATTGTGGTCTATGGGGTCTATGGGGTCTATGGGGGTCTATTGGGCTCTATTGGGGTCTATGGGTTCTATGGGTCTCTATGGGTCTCTATGGCGTCTACAGCGATCTATGGGTCTCTATGGGTCCCTTTACCACTGTCCCTCTCCCCCTCCAGTCCCCCCTCGCCCCCCTGGCTCAACGGCACCCTATGGGTCGTGGCGGGGGAGCTGCTGTGGCTGCGCTGTGGGGCTCGGAGCCACCCGGTCCCCACATGGGGTTCTATTGGGCTCTATTGGGCTCTATGGGGTCTATTGGGGGCTATGGGGTCTATTGGGGTCTATGGGTGTCTATGGGGTCTATGAAGTCTATTGGGTACTATGCGGTCTATTGGGGTCTATGGGGGTCTATGGGTTCTATTGTGGTCTATAGGGGTCTATGGGGGTCTATGGGGTCTATATGGGTCTATGGGGGTCTATGTGGTCTATATGGGTCTATGGGGGACTATTGGGGTCTATTGGGGTCTCTGGGGGTCTATTGGGGTCTATGGGGTCTATGGGGGTCTATAGGGGTCTATGGGGTCTATTGGTGTCTATGGGTTCTATGGGTCTCTATGGGTCTCTATGGCGTCTACAGCGATCTATGGGTCTCTATGGGTCCCTTTACCACTGTCCCTCTCCCCCCCCAGTCCCCCCTCGCCCCCCCTGGCTCAACGGCACCCTATGGGTCGTGGCGGGGGAGCCGCTGTGGCTGCGCTGTGGGGCTCGGAGCCACCCGGTCCCCACATGGGGTTCTATTGGGCTCTATGGGGTCTATTGGGGTCTATGGGGGTCTATGGGGTCTATTGGGGTCTATGGGGGTCTATTGGGGTCTGTGGGGGTCTATGGGGTCTATGAGGTCTATTGGGTGCTATGGGGTCTATTGGTGTCTATTGGGGTCTATGGGTGTCTATGGGGTCTATGAAGTCTATTGGGTACTATGCGATCTATTGGGGTCTATGGGGGTCTATGGGGGTCTATGGGGTCTACTGTGGTCTATAGCGGTCTATGGGGGTCTATGGGGTCTATATGGGTCTATGGGGTCTATGGGGGATTATTGGGGTCTATTGGGGTCTATAGGGGTCTATGGGGTCTATTGGTGTCTATGGGGTCTATTGGGGTCTATGGGGTCTATTGGGTTCTATGGGGTCTATTGTGGTCTATAGGGGTCTATGGGGGTCTATGGGGTCTATTGGGGTCTATGGGGGTCTATTGGGGTCTATGGGGGTCTATGGGGTCTATATGGGTCTATGGGGTCTATGGGGGATTATTGGGGTCTATTGGGGTCTATGGGGGTCTATTGGGGTCTATGGGGTCTATTGGGGTCTATGGGGTCTATGGGGGTCTATTGGGTTCTATTGGGGTCTATTGGGGCCTATGGGGTCTATGGAGGTCTATGGGTTCTATTGGGGTCTATAGGGGTCTATGGGGTCTATTGGGGTCTATAGGGGTCTATGGGGGTCTATTGAGGTCTATTGTGGTCTATGGGGTGTATGGGGGTCTATTGGGGGTCTATTGTGGTCTATGGGGTCTATGGGGTCTATGGGGGTCTATTGGGCTCTATTGGGGTCTATGGGGTCTATGGGTCTCTATGGGTCTCTATGGCGTCTACAGTGATCTATGGGTGTCTATGGGTCCCTTTACCACTGTCCCTCTCCCCCTCCAGTCCCCCCTCGCCCCCCCTGGCTCAACGGCACCCTATGGGTCGTGGCGGGGGAGCCGCTGTGGCTGCGCTGTGGGGCTCGGAGCCACCCGGCCCCCATCGTGAGCCTGCTTCGAGCCGGAGCCCTGGTAGCGAGCGCTCGCTACGAGCCCGCAGTGAGCTGGGAGCTGCCCCACGCCCGCCCCATAGATGGGGGGCAGTACGAGTGTAGGGCGGAGAACGGGCACGGCCACAGCAGCCTCAGCTTTAACGTCACAGTGGAGTGTGAGTCGTCATTGGGGCGGGGTTATGGGGCGGGGTTATGGGGTGGGGTTATGGGGCGGGGTTATGGGGCGGGGTTATGGGGTGGGGTTATGGGGTGGGGTTATGGGGTGGGGTTATGGGGCGGGGTTATGGGGCGGGGTTATGGGGCGGGGTTATGGGGTGGGGTTATGGGGTGGGGTTATGGGGTGGGGTTATGGGGTGGGGTTATGGGGCGGGGTTATGGGGTGGGGTTATGGGGCGGGGTTATGGGGTGGGGTTATGGGGTGGGGTTATGGGGCGGGGTTATGGGGCGGGGTTATGGGGTGTGGTTATGGGGAGGGGTTATGGGGTGGGGTTATGGGGCGGGGTTATGGGGCGGGGTTATGGGGCGGGGTTATGGGGGTAACTGTGGGGGGGGTATGGGGGGTATGGGGGGCTATAGGGGTATCTATGGGAGGTATGGGGGGCTATAGAGGGTATCTATTGGGGGTAACTATGGGGGGTATAGGGGGTATCTATGGGGTGGTATCGATGCCCTTAAGGTGGTATTGGGGTCCCTATGAGTGTCCTTAAGGTGGTATTGGTGCCCTTAAGGTGGAATTGGGGTCCCTATGAGTGCCCTTACGGTGGTCTTGGTGCCCTTAAGGTGGTATTACCGTCTTTAAGGTGGTATTGCTGCCCTTAAGGTGGCATTGGGGTCCCTATGGGTGCCCTTAAGGTGGTATTGGGGTCCCTATGGGTGCCCTTAAGGTGGTATTGGGGTCCCTATGAGTGCCCTTAAGGTGGTATTGGGGTCCCTATGGGTGCCCTTAAGGTGGTATTGGGGTCCCTATGAGTGCCCTTAAGGTGGTATTGGGGTCCCTATGGGTGCCCTTAAGGTGGTATTGGGGTCCCTATGGGTGCCCTTAAGGTGGTATTGGGGTCCCTATGGGTGCCCTTAAGGTGGTATTGGGGTCCCTATGGGTGCCCTAAAGGTGGTATCGATGCCCTTAAGGTGGTATTGCTGCCCTTAAGGTGGTATTGCCGTCCTTAAGGTGGCATTGGGGTCCCTATGGGTGCCCTTAAGGTGGTATTGGGGTCCCTATGGGTGCCCTTAAGGTGGTATTGGGGTCCCTATGGGTGCCCTTAAGGTGGTATTGGGGTCCCTATGGGTGCCCTTAAGGTGGTATTGGTGCCCTTAAGGTGGCATTGGGGTCCCTATGACTGCCCTTAAGGTGTTATTGGGGTCCCTATGAGTGCCCTTAAGGTGGTATTGGGGTCCCTATGGGTGCTCTTAAGGTGGTATTGGGGTCCCTATGAGTGCCCTTAAGGTGGTATTGGGGTCCCTATGAGTGCCCTTAAGGTGGTATTGGGGTCCCTATGGGTGCCCTTAAGGTGGTATTGGGGTCCCTATGAGTGCCCTTAAGGTGGTATTGGGGTCCCTATGGGTGCCCTTAAGGTGGTATTGGGGTCCCTATGAGTGCCCTTAAGGTGGTATTGGGGTCCCTACGGGTGCCCTTAAGGTGGTATTGGGGTCCCTATGGGTGCCCTTAAGGTGGTATTTGGGTCCCTATGAGTGCCCTTAAGGTGGTATCGATGCCCTTAAGGTGGTCTTGGGGTCCCTATGGGTGCCCTTAAGGGGGTATTGGGATCCCTATGGGTGCCCTTAAGGTGGTATTGGGGTCCCTATGGGTGCTCTTAAGGTGGTATTGGGGTCCCTATGAGTGCCCTTAAGGTGGTATCGATGCCCTTAAGGTGGTATTGCTGCCCTTAAGGTGGTATTGCCGTCCTTAAGGTGGCGTTGGGGTCCCTATGGGTGCCCTTAAGGTGGTATTGGGGTCCCTATGGGTGCCCTTAAGGTGGTATTGGGGTCCCTATGGGTGCCCTTAAGGTGGTATTGGGGTCCCTATGGGTGCCCTTAAGGTGGTATTGGGGTCCCTATGGGTGCCCTTAAGGTGGTATTGGTGCCCTTAAGGTGGCATTGGGTCCCTATGACTGCCCTTAAGGTGTTATTGGGGTCCCTATGAGTGCCCTTAAGGTGGTATTGGGGTCCCTATGGGTGCCCTTAAGGTGGTATTGGGGTCCCTATGGGTGCCCTTAAGGTGGTATTGGGGTCCCTATGGGTGCCCTTAAGGTGGTATTGGGGTCCCAATGGGTGCCCTTAAGGTGGTATTGGTGCCCTTAAGGTGGCATTGGGGTCCTATGACTGCCCTTAAGGTGTTATTGGGGTCCCTATGAGTGCCCTTAAGGTGGTATTGGGGTCCCTATGGGTGCCCTTAAGGTGGTATTTGGGTCCCTATGGGTGCCCTTAAGGTGGTCTTGGGGTCCCTATGGGTGCCCTTAAGGTGGTCTTGGTCTCTCTATGGGTCCGCCCCCCATAATACCCCCCCCTTTTTCCACCCCCCCCCCCCAACCCCACCCCCAGACCCCCCCCGAACTCCTCCCCGACTCCCACTGCACCCCTGGCGGGGAAGGAGCTCGGTGCCTGTGCTCGGCCCGCGCCGTCCCCACGGCGTCCTTGGCCTTCGAGCTCCCGTCCCGTAACGTCACCGTGAGCGAGGGACACCGGGACTTCCGGGCCGCCCTGCCCCCGGCCCCACGGCCACCGTCACGGCCATCCGAGCCTCCGTGGGGCGCTCGAGCCCCATCTCGTCATCCTCTGCCGGGCCCACAACGAGCACGGCAGCGCCCGGCTGCAGCTCAGATTCCAACATCCAGGTAAGGGTTGCAATGGGGGGCGCCGGGGGGGGTCCGTTGATGCTCTATTGGTGCCCCATTGATGCTCTATTGGTGGCCCATTGGTGCCCCATTGATGCTCTATTGGTGGCCCATTGATGGCCAATTGGTGGCCCATTGATGGACCATTGATGACCCATTGATGCTCTATTGGTGCCCCATTGATGGTCCATTGATGCTCTATTGGTGCCCCATTGGTGCCACATTGATGCTCTATTGGTGCCCCATTGATGCTCCATTGATGCTCTATTGGTGCCCCATTGATGCTCTATTGGTGGCCCATTGATGGCCAATTGGTGGCCCATTGATGTTCTATTGGTGCCCCATTTGATGCTCTATTGGTGCCCCATTGGTGCCACATTGATGCTCTATTGGTGCCCCATTGATGCCCCATTGATGGCCAATTGGTGGCCCATTGATGCTCTATTGGTGCCCCATTGATGCTCCATTGATGTTCTATTGATGGCCCATTGATGCCCCATTGATGCTCCATTGATGTCCCATTGATGCTCCATTGATGCTCTATTGGTGCCCCATTGATGCTCCATTGATGGCCCATTGGTGCCCCATTGATGCTCCATTGATGCTCTATTGGTGCCCCATTGATGGCCCATTGATGCTCTATTGGTGCCCCATTGATGCTCCATTGATGCTCTATTGGTGCCCCATTGATGCTCCATTGATGGCCATTGGTGCCCCATTGATGCTCCATTGATGCTCTATTGGTGCCCCATTGATGCTCCATTGATGGCCCATTGGTGCCCCATTGATGGCCCATTGATGCTCCATTGATGCTCCATTGATGGCCCATTGGTGCCACATTGATGCTCCATTGATGTTCTATTGGTGCTCCATTGATGCTCCATTGGTGGCCCATTGGTGCAACATTGATGCTCCATTGATGCTCTATTGGTGCCCCATTGATGCTCCATTGATGCTCCATTGATGCTCCATTGATGGCCCCATTGATGGCCCATTGGTGCTCCATTGATGGCCCCATTGATGCTCCATTGATGTTCTATTGGTGCCCCATTGATGCTCCATTGATGGCCCATTGGTGCCACATTGATGCTCCATTGATGTTCTATTGGTGCCCCATTGATGCTCCATTGGTGGCCCATTGATGGCCCATTGATGCTCTATTGGTGGCCCATTGATGCTCTATTGGTGCCCCATTGATGCTCTATTGGTGGCCCATTGATGCTCTATTGGTGCCCCATTGATGCTCCATTGGTGGCCCATTGGTGCCCCATTGATGGCCCATTGATGCTCTATTGGTGGCCCATTGATGCTCTATTGGTGGCCCATTGATGCTCTATTGGTGCCCCATTGATGCTCTATTGGTGGCCCATTGATACTCTATTGGTGCCCCATTGATGCTCCATTGGTGGCCCATTGGTGCCCCATTGATGCTCCATTGATGCTCTATTGGTGCCCCATTGATGCTCTATTGGTGCCCCATTGATGCTCCATTGATGCTCCATTGATGCCCCATTGATTCTCCATTGATGCCCCATTGATGACCCATTGATGCCCCATTGATGCTCCATTGATGCTCCATTGATGGCCCCATTGATGGCCCATTGATGCTCCATTGATGACCCATTGATGCTCCATTGATGCCCCATTGATGACCCATTGATGCTCCATTGATGACCCATTGATGCTCCATTGATGCTCCATTGATGGCCCATTGGTGCCCCATTGATGACCCATTGATGCTCCATTGATGACCCATTGATGCTCCATTGATGCCCCATTGATGCTCCATTGATGCCCCATTGACACCCCATTGATGCCCCATTGACACCCCATTGACGCCCCATTGACGCCCCATTGATGCCCTGTTGATGCCGGTAATTACCCCCTTGGGGGTCGTTAATACCCCCTTGACACCCCCCACCCCCCCCCCCCTTTTATTGCCCCACAGGGGGTCTGGTTTGGGCTAAGGTGGGGCCGGTCGGGGCCGTTGTGGCCTTCGCCATCGTCATCGCCGTCGTGTGCTACCTCAGCCAGAGCCGCCGCAAGTGAGACACGCCATGGGCGATATCGTGATATATGGGGGGGGGGGGGATTGCGATATATGGGGCGGTATCGCGATATATGGGGGGGGGTATCGCGATATATGGGGGGGGTATCATGATATAGAAGATGGAGGGCTATCGCGATATATGGGGGATATCGTGATATATGGGGGGTATCGCGATATATGGGGGGATATCGTGATATATGGGGGTATCGCGATATATGCGGGGGTTATCGTGATATATGGGGCGGTATCGCGATATATGGGGGATATCGTGATATATGGGGTATCGCGATATATGCGGGGGTTATCGTGATATATGGGGCGGTATCGCGATATATGGGGGGTATCGAGATATATGGGGGGGATTGCGATATATGGAGGGGTATCGGGATATATGGGGTGCCATGATACATGGGGATATGGTGATACATGGGGTTGTCGCGATATAGGGGGGTATCATGATATATGGGTTAACATGATATATGGGGATAGGGTGATATATGGGGTTGTCGCGATATAGGGGGCGGTATCGTGATATATGGGTTAACATGATGTATGGGGATATGGTGATATATGGGGTTGTCGCGATATAGGGGGTGGTATCGTGATATATGGGTTAACATGATGTATGGGGATATGGTGATATATGGGGTTGTCGCGATATAGGGGGCGGTATCGTGATATATGGGGTACCACGATATATGGGGATATGGTGATATATGGGGTAGTCGCGATATAGGGGGATATCATGATATATGGGGTGGTATCATGATATATGGGTGGGCACAGCAATATATAGGGGGCATACCGACATATGGTGGAGTATTGTGATATATGGGAGGGCAGAGTGATATTTGGGAGGGTAAAGCGATATATCGTGATATATGGGTGGTATCGCGACATAAGGGAGGGGTATCGCGATATATGGGAGAGGTATTGTGATATATGGGGGGGTATTCTGATATATGGGGGGGTATCGCGATATATGGGGTATTGTGATATATGGGGGGCTATCGCGATATATGGGGTATTGTGATATATGGGGGGGTATCGCGATATATGGGGTATTGTGATAGGGTGTTATCGCGATATATGGGGTATTGTGATATATGGGGGGAAAGAGGGCATCCCCATCCTTAGCTCCGCCCTACGGGATAGGGGGTGGGTTGAGGAGTGGGAGGGGCCAAGGTGGGGGTCAGAGGTCACGTGACCCTTGACCCGCCCCCCCCCCCTCCATTCATGCAGGAAGGCGGCGGGAAGCCCAGAGGTGACCCCGGTGCAGGGGGCGGAGCCTGAGCCTGAACAGCGCCCCCTGCAGGTGGGGAGGTGTCAATGGGGGGTGGGGGGTGGGGGGGGTGTGGGGGGTGGGGGGGTGGGATGTGGGGGGTGTGGGGGTGTGGGGGGTGGGGGGTGGGATGTGGGGGGTGGGATGTGGGGGGTGGGATGTGGGGGTGGGATGTGGGATGTGGGGTGTGGGGTGCGGGATGTGGGGGGTGGGATGTGGGATGTGGGGGGGTGGTGGGGGTGGGATGGTGGGGGGTGTGGGGGGTGGAATGTGGGGGGTGTGGGGGGTGGAATGTGGGGGGTGTGGGGGGTGGGATGTGGGATGTGGGGTGCGGGATGTGGGGTGTGGGATGTGGGGTGTGGGATGTGGGGACATGGGTTGACCCATATGTCCACGTGCGTACCTGTGTGTGCTATGTCCATGTATGTTCCATGCATGTTGCATGCATGTATGTCCATGCACGTAACACGTATGTTCCACGTATGTAACACCTGTGTTCCATGTACGTAACACGTATGTTCCATGTAACACGCATTTAACATGTATGTTCCAGGTAACACGCACGTAACGCATATGTTCTATGTAACACGTATGTTCCACGTATGTAACACGCATGTTCCATGCACATTCCACGTATGTTCCACGCATGTAATACATATGTGACACTTATGTGACATGTATGTCACACGTATGTAACATGCGCGTTCCACGTATGTAACATGGGCGTTCCAGTATGTTACATGCATGTTTCATGTATATCACACGCATGTTCCACAGATGTAACACGTGCGGTCCACGCATGCAACACGTACGTTCCACATAACACGCATGTTCCATGTATGTAACACGTATGTTCCACCTATGTAACACATATGTCCACATCACACATATGTTCCGTGTATGTCACACGCATGTAACATGTATGTAACACGCATGTAACACGTATGTAACACGTATGTAACACGCATGTAACACGCATGTTCCCCTCCCCCAGCCCCGCTGGCTGCGCGGCGCCGTCGGCCGCTGGGCGCTGGGGGTGGGGGAGGGCCGGGAGCCCCCCCGGACCCTGCCCCTCCCCCCAAGCCCAGCCGGGACCCCCCCGAGGAGCCCCCCGAGTATGCGGAGATCCGGGTCAAGTGACCCCGCCCCCCTCTGGCCACGCCCCCTCCTCCCATTCATCCCCATAGAGACCCCATTGTGGCCTATGGGGGCTCTAAGCCCCGCCCACCCGCCTTTAGCCACGCCTCCTCCTCCCATTCATCCCCATAGACACCCCATTGTGGCCTATGGGGGCTTTAAGCCCCGCCCACCGCCTTTAGCCACGCCTCCTCCTCCCATTCATCCCCATAGACACCCCATTGTGGCCTATGGGGGCTTAAGCCCCGCCCACCGCCTTTAGCCACGCCTCCTCCTCCCATTCATCCCCATAGACACCCCATTGTGGCCTATGGGGGCTTTAAGCCCCGCCCACCCGCCTTTAGCCACGCCCCCTCCTCCCATTCATCCCCATAGACACCCCATTGTGGCCTATGGGGGGCTTTAAGCCCCGCCCACCGCCTTTAGCCACGCCCCCTCCTCCCATTCATCCCCATAGACACCCCATTGTGGCCTATGGGGGCTCTAAGCCCCCGCCCACCCGCCTTTAGCCACGCCCCCTCCTCCCATTCATCCCCATAGACACCCCATTGTGGCCTATGGGGGCTCTAAGCCCCGCCCACCCGCCTTTAGCCACGCCTCCTCCTCCCCCATTCATCCCCATAGACACCCCATTGTGGCCTATGGGGCCTCTAAGCCCCGCCCACGCCTTTAGCCACGCCCCCTCCTCCCATTCCTCCCCATAGACACCCCATTGTGGCCTATGGGGGCTCTAAGCCCCGCCCACCCGCCTTTAGCCACGCCTCCTCCTCCCATTCATCCCCATAGACACCCCATTGTGGCCTATGGGGCCTTTAAGCCCCGCCCACCGCCTTTAGCCACGCCCCCTCCTCCCATTCCTCCCCATAGACACCCCATTGTGGCCTATGGGGGCTCTAAGCCCCGCCCACCCGCCTTTAGCCACGCCCCCTCCTCCCATTCCTCCCCATAGACACCCCATTGTGGCCTATGGGGGCTCTAAGCCCCGCCACCCGCCTTTAGCCACGCCTCCTCCTCCCATTCATCCCCATAGACACCCCATTGTGGCCTATGGGGGCTTTAAGCCCCGCCCACCCGCCTTTAGCCACGCCCCCTCCTCCCATTCATCCCCATAGACACCCCATTGTGGCCTATGGGGCCTTTAAGCCCCGCCCACGGGACTTTAGCCACGCCCCCTCCTCCCATTCCTCCCCATAGACACCCCATTGTGGCCTATGGGGGCTCTAAGCCCCGCCCACCCGCCTTTAGCCACGCCCCCTCCTCCCATTCATCCCCATAGACACCCCATTGTGGCCTATGGGGGCTTTAAGCCCCGCCCACCCGCCTTTAGCCACGCCCCCTCCTCCCATTCATCCCCATAGACACCCCATTGTGGCCTATGGGGGCTTTAAGCCCCGCCCACCCCGCCTTTAGCCACGCCCCCTCCTCCCATTCATCCCCATAGACACCCCATTGTGGCCTATGGGA